AACAGTAACATAAGCTATTTAGTCTTGTTGTTTTAAAAACCCTATGAAGAGCAACATAAGCTACTAGTATCTAGTCTTGTTTTGAAAACCACTCGAAGAACACTATTAACATACGTTATTTAGTCTTGCTGCTTTAAAAATTCCCATCAAGAGCACTATTAATATTAGCATCAGCTATCTAGTTTTTTTTTGTTTTAAAAATCCCATGAAGAGCACTATTAACACACATTATTTAGTCTTGTTGTTTTAAAAATCCCACCAAAAGCACCAATAATATTAGCATCAGCTATCTAGTTTTTTTTATTTAAAAGCCCCATGAAGAGCACCATTTACAAAGGCTATATCTAGTTTTGTTGTTTTAAAAACCCCACGAAGAGCATTATTAACATAAGCTATCTAGTCTAGTTGTTTAAAAAAAATCCATGCAGAACATCTATAGTTTTGTTGTTTTAAAAACTCCATGAATAGCATCGATATCATTAACATAAGCTATCTAGTCTCAATGTGTATCATCGCCACCGAAAATTGGGTACTAACGAAGCTGAATGAAATGGAAAAAAAAGAAAACAAGGTAAGAATTCATTAAATTTCTTGGCGTATTGAATAAACATCTGTCTACTTGTTACACTTGGGACAAGATACAGCTTGGCATAGGGACATCTGTCTACTTGTTACACTCGGGACAAGATAGCGTTTGGCGTAATAAATAGACATCTGTCTACTGGTTGCACTCGGGACAAGATAGAGCTTGGTGTATTGAATAAATACCAAGTCTACTTCTTACACTCGGGACAAGGTAGAGCTTGGCGTATTGAATAAATACCTGTCTACTTGTTAAACTCAGGACAAGATAGAGCTTGGCGTATTGAATAGATACCTGTCTACTTGTTACACTCGGGACAAGATAGAGCTCGGCGTATTGAATAGATACCTGTCTACTTGTTACACTCGGGACAAGATAGAGCTTGGCGTATTGAATAAATACCTGTCTACTTGTTACACTCAGGACAAGATAGAGCTTGACGTATTGAATGGATACCTGTCTACTTGTTACATTCGGGACAAGATAGAGCTTGGCGTATTGAATAAATACCTGTCTACTTTTACACTCAGGACAAGATAGAGCTTGACGTATTGAATGGATACCTGTCTACTTGCTACACTTGGGACAAGATAGAACTTGACGTATTGAATAAATACCTGTCTACTTGCTTCACTAGGGACAAGACAGAGTTTGCCGTATTGAATAAACACCTGTTTTTTTGAACACTGTAATAGCAATTTAGATGTATTTATGATATATATGGGTTTTCTTAATCTCACTGAAGTTTACCTCACATATCATTATGCAAGGTTTGTTGTCGCCATTTGTTCTCGCTCTTTACACATTTTTATTCCTACTAGTTTAGTACGGATGTGTGTATGTGTTCTAAATTATACTGCGTCACCGAATGGTAATTTGGTGCTGCGTATATGGTCTTTATCATACTGTGTCTCTGAGTGGTAATTCGAAACGATGGAAGTTTTAACGACCTTGACTGGTTATACATTTTGTACAGCCCTTGCACGGTGGGAGTGGTAATTTGGGTGTGCGTATGTGCTTTTTATTCTACTGTGTCTGTAAGTGGTTATTCGTTCGTGTGCATGTGTTCTCTATCATACTGTGTCTCCGAGTGGTAATTCGATTGTGTATATGTGCTCCATATAAAACTGTCTCCGAGTGCTAACTCGGTTGTGTGTATGTGTTCTATATTATACTGTGTCTTCGAGTGGTAATTCGGGTGTGTGCAGTGTGTATAGTATATTAAACTGTGTATTTGGGTGGTAATTCGGTTGTGTGTATGTGCTCTTTATTATACTGTGTCACTGTGTGGTACATTGTTGATTCGTTTGAATGTATGCGCTCTTTAGGGAGCTACCATTTGAATTTTAGGGGGGGGGGGGCTATTCGGTCTTGGCTTTTTTTTATTAGTTTATCCTGACTTTCTTTTACATAAATTGTCATCCTGCCTTTTTTTTTTTTTGCAAAGTTGCTCATCCTGCCTTTTTTTGTACTCAAAACTCCTGTCCTGCCTTTTTTTTCGAATTTCATCCTAGCCCCCCCCCTAAAAATCAAATGGTAGCTTCCTTATCATACTGTGTCTCTGAATGGTAATTCGGTTGTGTGTGTGTTTACTCTATATTATACTGTGTTCCAAAGTGGTAATTCGGGTGTGTTTATGTACTCAGTATGAAACTGTGTCTCTGAATGGTAATTCGAGTGTGTTCTATATCTTACTGTGTCTCTGAGTGGTAATTCGAGTGTGTTCTATATCTTACTGTGTCTCTGAGTGGTAATTCGAGTGTGCTCTATATAATACTGTGTCTCTGAATGGTAATTCGAGTGTGTTCTATATCTTACTGTGTCTCTGAATGGTAATTCGAGTGTGTTCTATATCTTACTGTGTCTCTGAATGGTAATTCGAGTGTTCTATATCTTACTGTGTCTCTGAATGGTAATTCGAGTGTGTTCTATATCTTACTGTGTCTCTGAATGGTAATTCGAGTGTGCTATATATCATACGGTGTCTCCGAGTGGTGATTCGAGTGTGCTCTATATCATACTGTGTCTTTGAGTGGTAATTCGAGTGTGTTCTATATCTTACTGTGTCTCTGAGTGGTAATTCGAGTGTGTTCTATATCTTACTGTGTCTCTGAGTGGTAATTCGAGTGTGCTCTATATAATACTGTGTCTCTGAATGGTAATTCGAGTGTGTTCTATATCTTACTGTGTCTCTGAATGGTAATTCGAGTGTGTTCTATATCTTACTGTGTCTCTGAATGGTAATTCGAGTGTTCTATATCTTACTGTGTCTCTGAATGGTAATTCGAGTGTGTTCTATATCTTACTGTGTCTCTGAATGGTAATTCGAGTGTGCTATATATCATACGGTGTCTCCGAGTGGTGATTCGAGTGTGCTCTATATCATACTGTGTCTTTGAGTGGTAATTCGAGTGTGCTCTATATCATAATGTGTCTCCGAGTGGTAATTCTAGTGTGCTCTATATCATACTGTGTCTTTGAGTGGTAATTCGAGTGTGCTCTATATCATACTGTGTCTCTGAGTGGTAATTCGAGTGTGCTCTATATCATACTGTGTCTCTAAGTGGTAATTCGAGAGTGCTATATATATCATACTATGTCTCCGAGTGATAATTCGAGTGTGCTCTATACATGCTATATAATACTGTGTCTCTGATTGGTAATTAGGTTGTGTGTGTGTTTGTGTGTACTCTATACCATACTGTGTTCCAAAGTGGTAATTCGGGTGTGTTTATGTACTCAGTATGAAACTGTGTCTCTGAATGGTAATTCGAGTGTGCTCTATATAATACTGTGTCTCTGAGTGGTAATTCGAGTGTGCTCTATATCATACTGTGTCTTTGAGTGGTAATTCGAGTGTGCTCTATATCATACTGTGTCTCTGAATGGTAATTCGAGTGTGCTCTATATAATACTGTGTCTCTGAGTGGTAATTCGAGTGTGCTCTATATAATACTGTGTCTCTGAGTGGTAATTCGAGTGTGCTCTATATCATACTGTGTCTCTGAGTGGTAATTCGGGTGTGTGTATGTGCTCTATCTTATACTGTCTCCGAGTTGTAATTCGGTGTGTGGACAAGTTTTGTTGTGTCGCTGAGTGGTAATTTCTGTTTGTTTCTACTAATGTGTCCATTGAAGAAGCACTTCGAGTGTGCTATATATCATACGGTGTCTCCGAGTGGTGATTCGAGTGTGATCTTTATCATACTGTGTCTTTGAGTGGTTATTCGAGTGTGCTCTATATCATAATGTGTCTCCGAGTGGTAATTCTAGTGTGCTCTATATCATACTGTGTCTCTGAGTGGTAATTCGAGTGTGCTCTATATTATACTGTGTCTCCGAGTGGTAATTCGAGTGTGCTCTATATCATACTGTGTCTCTAAGTGGTAATTCGAGAGTGCTATATATATCATACTATGTCTCCGAGTGATAATTCGAGTGTGCTCTATACATGCTATATAATACTGTGTCTCTGATTTATATTAGGTTGTGTGTGTTTGTGTGTACTCTATACCATACTGTGTTCCAAAGTGGTAATTCGGGTGTGTTTATGTACTCAGTATGAAACTGTGTCTCTGAGTGGTAATTCGAGTGTGTTCTATATCTTACTGTGTCTCTGAGTGGTAATTCGAGTGTGCTCTATATAATACTGTGTCTCTGAATGGTAATTCGAGTGTGTTCTATATCATACTGTGTCTCTGAGTGGTAATTCGAGTGTTCTATATATCATACTGTGTCTCTGAATGGTAATTCGAGTGTGCTCTATATAATACTGTGTCTCTGAGTGGTAATTCGAGTGTGCTCTATATAATACTGTGTCTCTGAGTGGTAATTCGAGTGTGCTCTTTATCATACTGTGTCTCTGAGTGGTAATTCGGGTGTGTGTATGTGCTCTATCTTATACTGTCTCTGAGTTGTAATTCGGTGTGTGGACAAGTTCTGTTGTGTCTCTGAGTGGTAATTTCTGTTTGTTTCTACTAATGTGTCTATTGAAGAAGCACTTCGTTTATTTGTGTGTGCTCTGTTCGTAAAAAGTGGTTATTCCTTTGTATACGTGTGTATTCGTATGTGTCTTAAAAACTGCCAATTCGTGTTTGTGCCTTGGTGTCAGTTATGCGTCTCCTTAGCCAGGGAACAACCATTTTAACTTCGACATCGAGGGTTGGGTTTTTTTCGGACCATGCAAGCTTTAATATTTTTTTACAAGAAATTATCATTAATCTTAATGACGAATACATTAATCAGAATATTTTTTTTAAGTTAAATGATAGTTCCCTATTTATTTAACACTATTTGTCAAATATATAACGTTTATTAAGATAAGGCCATACAAAAAGGCAATTCGTTTAGAGTTTCATCCCTTTGAAATATAGGTTAGAATGTCAGCCATATGAATTCCTTATTTTGCTTATTTTGAACTAAACTAATTTGTCCTTCTCAGCACCATGCTTTGTCATATGTCTAGCATAGAAAATTGAAAGACTAAATATTTGACCACAGGTTTCACATTCATATGGGTTTTCCCCTGTATGTATTCTCATGTGATTCTGTAAGTTCTGTTTCCGAATAAAATGTTTATCACAAATATTACATTTATAAGGTCTTTCAACACATTTAGAATGCCTTCTTGAGTGTCTTTGAACGTCGATTTTATAATTAAAACCTCTACCACATACATTACATGCAAACGGTTGATCGCCAGTATGTATTCTCATGTGTAGTCGTAAGTGTTCCTTCCTACTGAAAGTTTTATCACATACCTCACATTGATGAGGTTTATCACCCGTATGTGTTCTCATGTGTCTGTTTAAGTCAGGACGCTGACTAAAATCCTTTTCACATACATCACATTTACATATTTTACACGGTTTTTCACCTGTATGTGTTTTCTTGTGGGTCAGCACTTGAGAACTTTGTCTAAATGCCTTATCACATATATCACATTTGAATGGTTTATCACCAGTATGTGTTCTTGTGTGTATCCGTAAGTGATGTGACATGCGAAATACTGAACCACAAACTTCACATCTGTAAGGTTTATCAACAGTATGTATCCTCATGTGTTGTTGTAGGTATTTATTCTTACTGAAATCCACTTCACACATTCTACATTTAAAAGGTTCATAGCCTTTATGTTTTATAATGCGACTCTTTAAGACCCGAGTCTGATGAAATCTTTTACTAGAAGCTGAATGCCTTTTCTTGGCACTGTTTACCACATGCACTAGTTTTGCACTCTTTACCACAATTATTACCATGACGTTCTTTACCACAAATATTACATATGCACACTTTACCGTTGAAATCTTTTCCACATATATTACTTGGGTAATTTGTATCACACACATTACTTTGGAACTCTTTACCACACAAATTACTTTGGAACTCTTTACCACACAAATTACTTTGGTACTCTTTACCACACACACAATTTTGCGATTGTTTACCAAAAATATTACTTTTGCACATTTTACCACACATATTTCTTTGACATTCTTTACCACAACCAATACCATTACATTCTTTACCACAAACATTACCATGACATTCTTTACCACAAACATTACCATGACATTCTTTACCACAACCAATACCATGACATTCTTTACCACAAACATTACCATGACATTCATTACCACAAACATTACCATGACATTCTTTACCATACACACTTCCCTGGTACTCTTTACCATATTCATTACCAGCACCAAACTTCTTCCTAGTCTGATATGCCTTGTCCATCAGTTGGTCTGTACTAGTCTGATCAAGAGTAATGACTGTTAGTATATTTTCAGTATCAGAAACCATATTTGTTTCCGTCTTGTCCTGTCCACCGTGGAACGTCTCTAAATTGTCTGTTAGTTGTTCAGGGTCTGTCGTGTCCTGTCCACCGTGGAACGTCTCTAAATTGTCTGTAGGTTGTTCAGGGGAGATTTCAGTATCAGAAACCATATTTATTTCTGTCTCGTCCTGTCTGCCGTGGAACGTCTCTAAATTGTCTGTTGGTTGGTCGGGGGAGTTTACAGTTGAAATCTCTTTTTTTTTTTCGTTTCTGAAAATCTATCTTTTCCCGTCAACTCCTGTCCACCATGACCACTGCGAAACATCTTCGAATTGTCCAGTTAGAATAACAGAGATTGTAACGGAGAATGCTATATTTTCACGATAAAATATTTTCTAATACCATGCACCGTCTTGTCCACTCTTAAACATAATTCAGCCAAACTAAAAATGATAAAATTTAAGTATAACTTAGTCATGTTAGTTAATAAAATCCAACTACATATAACATATATTAGTCAAAGAATGTTTATCAGCAATGTGAACTTATGTGTTATGTAAAGAGAGAGGGGGTTATGTTTTTTTTCTAAAAAATATATTCTGAACCCAAATTATAAAAAAAAATATATTGTTGTCATGCAGATGACCAAAAAAGGTCTGAATCCAGATTCTCTCCTCAATTTAAAGTGTTAAATATTGAAAAATATAATTTGATTGATAGCGTTGAAAAACAAAAATATTCATGCTTTCCATGGAATAAAAAGTTTCTGACTCAGACGAAAAACCTGAACCCTCCTTTGTCCTTGAAGTTAAATGGTAACTTGATCCCTTACTTAGTGAATAAAATAAAACTTCACATTAGTCAATACATTTTCTTGTTCGTGTTGCCTAGTGATCTTAGTCTTAAGTTTTATATGTTGCCTGTTGCCTAGTGATCTTAGTCTTAAGTTTTATATGTTGCCTAGTGATCTTAGTCTTAAGTTTTCCTAGTGATCTTAGTCTTAAGTTTTATATGTTGCCTAGTGATCTTAGTCCTAAGTTTTATATGTTGCCTAATGATCTTAGTCTTAAGTTTTATATGTTACTTAGTGATCTTAGTCTGAAGTTTTATATGTTGCTTAGTGATCTTAGTCTGAAGTTTTATATGTTGCCTAGTGATCTTAGTCTGAAGTTTTATATGTTGCCTAGTGATCTTAGTCTGAAGTTTTATATGTTGCCTAGTGATCTTAGTCTGAAGTTTTATATGTTGCCTAGTGATCTTAGTCTGAAGTTTTATATGTTGCTTAGTGATCTTAGTCTGAAGTTTTATATGTTGTGTTGCGTCTTGTGTACTATTGTTTGTCTGTCTTTTTTTCTTTTTTAGCCATGGCGTTGTCAGTTTATTTCGATTTATGAGTTTAAATGTCCCTCCGGTATCTTTCGCCCCTCTTATCTAATATAAAGAATGAAACTAAATTTTAACAAGCATTCTGTGGGTATTGCATGACAATACGTATTCCCCAAACGGTTACTTAATTGTATTTGAACAAAATTTTAACTTGGTTTATAACTTGTCATGATGTAAACTTTATCACAAATAGTCAATATCTTCAAGCATGACGAAACAAAATTGTGGAAAACTGACCTGAACAAAATTCGAACTTGATCTGTAACTTTTCATGAAAAAACTATATGCCAATTTTCGAATCAATGTCTTTAAACATGACGAAAAAAGTTCGAAAAACTGATTATTTAAGTGAATTTTCTAAGTCCAAGGACCATATCTCTGCACAAAAATCATCAGACCGGAACACAATTCGAACTTGAACTGTAACTTGCCATGATAAAACTATTTACCAATTTTCAAATCAATATCTTTAAGCATGACGAAAAAAGTTCGAAAAACTGATTATTTAAGTGAATTTTCAAAGTCCAAGGACCATAACTCTGCACCAAATCATCAGACCGGAACAAAATTCGAACATGATCTGTAACATGTCATGATAAAACTATTTACCAATTATCAAATCAATATCTTAAAGAATGACACAAAAAAGAGTGCGGAAAACTATTTATTTTAGTGAATTGTTGAAGTCAAAGGTCCATAACTCTGCACAAAATTATCAAACCGGAACAAAATTTGAACTTGAACTGTAACTTGCCATGATAAAACTATATACCAATTATCATGATTATCAAATCAATATCTTCAAGAATAACAAAACAAGTGCAGAAAACTATTCATTTTAGTGAATGTTCTAAGTCAAAGGACCATAACAACGCACATAGGCGGATCCGGGGAGGGGGGGGGATATATTTTTTCTATAACACACATATATTATCATGATTATTATCAATATATGTCATATTAAAGTAAAAAGGTAATTATTCTCAGAGACAAATGCCTGGTGCAAATATCATATGCATTTTAGTTCTCATTTATTTCAAAAGTTCATTGTACATCGAGTTGATGGTAAAAACTAGGGAGATTTTTATAACTTATTAATGTTAAATAGGCTTTCCATATATTTTCCAATCTAACAAAGAACTTCGGATGAACTTGATTTTGGTTAAAAATGCACATTTTTTTTTTATATTAATCTTGATTTAGCGAATACAGAAATTACTATATCAAAATGCAAAAATCCAAAACTTACCTTTTGTTAGACTAGAAAAGGTAAACGAGATTATTTAAACCTTAACTTGACGTGCGTCTCAAAACAAAATTCAAAGGGAGATAATAAAGATATACCTATGGAACGCACGATTGCAAGAATAAGAATGCAGTAAGGAGATATTTACGGAACATTAATTTTAAATCAGTTCCTCAATTGATATGTCACTGTACCTAAAATTAACCAGAATCAAAGAGAACTCTTTAAATGCAACTTTTGAATATAAACAAAATAATAAATTATAGGCTTTTAGTGGCACCATTCGTTTTTTAGATTAATTCTAATATTTAAAATTTACATGTGTTCAAAATAAGCTTTTTTTCAGTGCAAATTTTATTTTGAGAACTAACTCAGATATCACGAAAAACCTCTTTAAGCGTTTATGCAAATGATTGATTGATTGATTGTTGGTTGCTTAACGTCCAGTGGCAAATATTTCATGCATATTCAGGACGAGAACAAGTTCACAATAAATACAATAGGTAGGTTCTGTAATAAATTAAGGGATTAAGGTCGGAGAAATTTAGACTGCCACGGGAAATGAGGGTATATTGGATAGGGACAGAAATTTAGCCTTGGAACAGGTCACCTACGGACCCCTCAAAGAGTTGTTGCAAGGGTTCTTAACGTGCAAAGAGCGTGGCACTCTCTTTACACGAGGCATCGGATTTAACGTCCCCATTCTGACCGGACGTGGCTGCAAGTTTGTACATCCCGCACAGCCAAACGGACGCCCCACTTTAGCACGGGTTTTACTACCGGTCGGAGGAAGACCAATGGTGACCATACTTCTATTCCCCAGTCACCCTTGGGGGGGGGGGGGGGGGGGTTTATGCAAATGAAAAGTATTATTTGATGTGAATTAAATCTACACTAGTAAATTTCATTGGAATAATAGGGGACCGGCAAAGTGGATGTTGGAGCCCTTTCTATAGTTTTCACCTTGTCCGTCCGTCTGATCTCCAACAATTTTAATGTTTTGATCGCAAAAACTCCAATAGTATAGGTAAGAGGTAAATAATATACTGCCCAGATGATTTTAATCATTTGACGATGTGCATATAAAGTGATTTATGTTACATATGAATCAACAAATCATTTAGGGTCAAATTTTAAATTGTAAATTTTGTTACTTTTTTAAAAGCATGGGTTGGAGACAAATAATTTTTTTTAACAGTTATTATCTTTGTTTCAGTGTAACATATTTATTTTTCGTTCATTATTTGTTCACTTTTATTGCGGACTATCATGACTATGCAGTATGGGCTTTGCTCATTGGTGAAGGCCGTACGTTGACAATTTTTTGATAATTTCCGTGTAATTTTTGTCTATTGTTGAGAGTTGTATCATTGGCAATCATACCACATCTTCTTTTTGCATATGCTAATGTCAATAATATTTTAAAAAATAATAAATTAAAGAAATATCTAAATGTTTTTACCCAGAATTAAAAAAAATGCTTAGTTAAGGATACTTCAAAAATAATCTGAAGATACATAAACAATAAAAATAATCATGAAGATGAATCATATATACCAAAATAGATTCACAATAAGGTTTTCTGGTTTCAAATTAGTACGTCAA